GCACTGCTTACTATGATTAGTAATAATCACATTGTGATATCAAAGAATTCTAGTACACACTTTTCTATAGTTCACCCCAGCTATTTATGGACATTATACGATGGAGAAGTAAAAATGAAACACAGAGGACATTCCACTGGCCAAAGTATGGTTAGCTCTGATAATACAATATATTGTTTAACTCTTTTTGTTGAAGCTTGGAAAGAGTTAACTGGAATGCCAGCAGAAGATTTCTTTAAGTATAATAAGATCACAGCTTATGGGGACGATAATGTCTTAAGTAGCAATTGTTTCAACGATAAATGGAATGAAAATACATTATGTGATTATTTTGCTAAAAAAGGAGTTAGTTTAAGACTAGAGAATAAATCAGAAGGTTTAAAAGGGGTAGAGTTTCTAAGTAAAATCTATTCAGATAGTGAAAAACAATTAGAGGAAGTTCTTAAATACGTGCCTGATTATACTTGTAAAGTAACTTATAAACATAACAGAGATAAACTTTTAATGAAATTTGATAATATTAAAAAGAACCCAAAAAAAAATAATACTTATTTACTTGAACGTATTGTTGGTTTAGCCAACAACTGTGCTCATTATCCGGATATTCATGAAATTTGTGTCAAATATTATAATGAATTAATAGAAGCTTATTATAGCCATATGAAAGCAATAAGAAAGCGATGTCCTATAAAATCGTATGAAGAAGTAATGCGTCTACAATATGAATACAGATATAATGAATTGGTAACTTTAGATATGTCTCCATTTGAACAATTTATTCGTGATGCACGTGCTTTTGTTCATGAAGTTGATTTCAAATGTGAATTTGTGTTTCAGAATTATAAAAATATGTTAAAAGTACTCGATTTATCTTTAGCTAGAGCATCAGTAGACACACTATATTTCGATCCGGACAATCATCCTATCTCTGAAAATTTTTTGATAGAATGATGAATTATTTGTTAAACGAATACGAAAATCTAACTTTAATTTAAAAAATACCGGCAACACAAATCTGGCTACCTAATTGTTAACCATAGCCGCTATGGTTAATATTATTTCCAGGTCTGCATCTCTGATACTTTTATAGTATTTTGTGAAACGATTGATTGATTTTTAATCTTCTTATTTTGTTCACGTGAAGTTCGAAATATTTATTCAAAAGAAAATATTATTTTTATTAGTAATTACTCTTTAAAAATTAAAAAATACATAATATTATAAACATACTATATACTGGTATTATCGAAATAGCTTCTAATAAAAGTTGGTGAAACACTTGATCCCAACTTTTATATGAAAGTTGAATATCCAAAAAACTATCTTAGAAAATTTTAGGGAGCTTTGATTATAAAAATTTCGATATTGCTTCTTTAAATTAAATTTAAAGCTTTAATGCTAAAATGATTTTTATTTCATGATGTACTTCTAAAATCTGTATTAGAATCTACAAATTAAATTACTTTGCCCTTATCTGTTACATAGATATGTTTTAATAATCGGATAAATAGTTATTTAATTATAAAAGTTTAATACTGTATTTACATATAACCAATTTTCTTTAATTGATCATTTTTATAATAAAGAATTTTTAAAAACTCTTTATAGACGAAGGTATAGGTGCATTTGGTCATGTGATTTTAAAATTCCGGACAGTCAAAGGTGCCGGAAATAAATTCAATTACAGCTGTTTTCATTATTCCTGGGACACCTATAAAAAATTAGCCGAAAAAAATTTTCGGCTGGTAATTTTTTCGGCATGATCGGTATATAAAAAATATATTTTTGAATTTGTTCAATTTTAATTTACTGTAATATTGATATAATATAATATCTATGTCTAAATTACATTTTTGGTCCAATTTCAAAAATTACCATAATAAATATAATACCTGTTCTACGTACAAATAATTTTATT